GCTTTCTAACATTAACAATCCAAAGTTATTAGGCTTTGATATTATTCACCTTTTTCAATAAAATAACATTTTTGCTGCTTATCATTCCTATTAAATCAGAATATAAGTAGACTATACATAAGAAAACATACAAAGTTCTCTCAGAGTTCTTTTGTTAACTGAAGGATTTGTTTCTGACTGGCATTTTTTGCACTATAAAATAAAGTAATTAAAAGGAAACAACTGACACTGGTGTAATAATGAACAACTGCGAACAAACTGTTAAAGTTAAAATGTTTAAATTCAAACAGTAATTGTTGTTCAAGTAGGAGGGCTGGAAAATAGTAATAACAGCCATACTTTTTTTTTTTAAATGAATAATCAATTTTAAAAACCAGGAGTGGGTTGTTGTTGCTTTTTAAGTCGTTTAATTTAAACCAACCTGGCTTAAACCAGCCAACCCTGCCTTTCTTGCAATATGTCTATTGTTTTGATATCTTTACTCCAGGGATGGACAAGGTGACATATGCCCCCCACAAGCTGTTTTTCTGGTCTTCAGCCTTTCAGATTCCCCAAACCTCTATCCAACCAGACTCCCAAGAAGTCTCCAGGAAAGCTATTCACTTTCTAAACAGGTTGAATCCTTCAATACACACTCACAGTTTAACATTAAACTATACATTTTTCAGCACCAGAAGTGGACTGTGGTTTTCTTTTGTTGCATTTTTGACAGTTTGTGTGGCCTGCAGAACCACCATAGGTGTCCACCTCTGCTCTTCTCAAAACAGACTTCTAACTTCCGTCCTTCAGCAGCTGAATGATATCAGGAGAAAGACATGACATGACTTCATGAAATGCTGACCTCAAAATAAATGGAATTGGTTGGTGCATCACCATCTATGTACTTGCAAAAGCTCCTAATCACTTTGTGGCCAATGATTGACAGGACAGGAATGCTATTTTCTATGTTACTCTACCAGCCACCCAAATGGGCCCAACCCACCAAAAGAGAAGGTTAAGAGGTGATACGATAGCCTTGTTTAAGTATTTGAAGGGGTGTCACACTGAGGATGGAGTAAGCTTGTTTTCTGGTTCTTCAAAGAATAGAACCCAGAACAACGGATGCAAGCTACAGGAAAAGAGATTCCACCTTACCATTAGGAGGAACTTCCTGACAGTGAGAGCTCTTTGACAGTGGAACACACTTCCTCAGAATGTGGTGGAGTCTCCTTCTTTGGGAGTCTTTAAGCAAAGACCAAATGGCCACCTGTTGGGGGTGCTTTGATTCTGAGTTCCTGCATGGCAGGGCGTTGGACTGGATGGCCCTTGTGGTCTCTTCCAACTCTATGATTCTATCATTCTATGAAATCCTACTGCTCACCTGCTCAGGATACATGGACATCTAAGGCAGCGACTTGTTTTGATATTTTAGTCTCACTTTCTTTTTTGACACACACACAAAGTAAACAAGTCTGTCATTCAAGCCAGCTGTTTTACTCATCTCACATTAGATTCCTTGCCCACTTCAGTTTACTTTACACTCTTGATCAGGACAATACAGGCACACACACACATATAAATATCCATCTATTCTACATGACAGAAAACAAATGCCTATAAGGTGATGCACCTTTGGTGTTCACCTGATCCACATTTTTCTCCAGCTAGACTTCTCTGTCTCCCAAGCACATAGAAAACTACGAAGTGACCTACTTCTTCTGTTTCAGCATTCTGCCTCCATAGCAACTGCATTGCGTTTAGGTTGAAAACAGCTGCCACTGAGCATACAGATGCTCAACAATGCAAATAATGCCAAAAGGGACACTCCTTGAGACAAAGGAGAAAACAAAATGGGCAGACATCAAGGTTCGGTTGCACTAACCTATACAGAGGAGGCATTTTCAACAGATCTTAGAGAGCAACCCTGTAATTCACTATGTCCACAGGATGGTCTTGTCCTTTGACTGCTCAGCCCAGGAAAAGATGCAACAAAGAAAACTGGGAAGTTTTCCCAGTTCCCTGCTTGTGGATTCTAGCAGTCATTGGTTTAGCTGCTATGGGAAGCAGGATGCTGGACTGCAAGGAATGGGGAAGGGAACAAACTGTGGTCCTAGATCACAGCCCTCCTCTGGCTGGTTTTGTGGCCTTCAACCCATTCAGATTTCTCAGATTTCTCCTAGCCATATAGAAGAGGGTGTATTGCCTCTCCTAGAAGCCTTCAGGAATGGCAATCTACCTTATGAATGGGTTGTAGACCCTGCCCTTTCTACTTCTCAAAACTAGAAGTGGACTTTTGATCACTTCCAGTTTTTTGAAAGAAGAGGTTAAATAATTTTTGGCAGTTTATGCAACAAAAGGAGGGGCTACAAAGCCTGAATATCAACCCTATGAATTCATCATGCTGAGTCTTGCCAGCCAGCATTTTCCAGTTTATGTCTAAGAAAAAAAAATCAAAATCAAAACATGGATTCACATTCAGCTGAAGTCTCCAAACTTAAAAAGCAGACAACAAAATGTTTTGGATTTAATGCTTTAAATGTAAGGAAACTGAAAAACAAGTAGCAGCTAATATTACTCCTCCAGATGTGACTTTCATATTCTCCGATACTGCCTACATACTTGAAGGGGGAAACAATTTCAGGTGAACAGTTAAATAACAAGTTAAGAATGCCAAACCACAAGAAAAGCAAATCCCTGCATCCCTAGGCAGTGGGCCAAAGTACTGAGAATATCATTTTTCCATGCCTACCCAGATGATGTTCTGCATGCCAGGATGTCCTAATAATACATTGGGGCAAGGCAAAGGATAGTCCTCTCAAAGTAATTCAAACCAAATAGGGGAAATCTCTGAAAGCAGCTGAGTTGAACATTTGGGGCTGCAGGCCAGTTCTAATTCGGCTATGATGCAAGGATCACAGGGCTTCTGAGTCAGGACAAGGGCCATGACCACACAAGACAGCTGCTTAAAGAACTGGCATCTGCCCATTTGCCTCAAAGCCAGAAAAGCCAACCAAGGAGGCATAGATTGTTAAATGGGATATAAAAATGCACATTTCCCAAAGAGCTCTGGGCTGGATGCTCTGAATTCCCAAATGTTCACTGTGAGTTTTAGCGTTGATATTTCACATGTGTTTTTATGTTTGCTGGCATGTAAATAAAACCCACTCAAGGGTTATTTAGAGCATTTTTGCTTCTATGCCAAACATCACAATTCCTTTGTAGCTAAGATCATGTAAGACAAACCTTTTTAGGGTGCTCTCTTCCAAGTGAATTGCTTCACTAAGACAAACTCTACCAAATTCATACACATACAAACAAACAAACAAACAAACAAACACCAAATCTGCAGCACAATCAGTCCTGTGAGTATATTAATCATGGATTCTGGATTCACAAAGTCATCTATGTTTGAAAACGTATATAAACATGCCTGATATATTAAAAAGAGACAGCATGATGTAGTAGTTTGAGCGCTGGACAATGATTTGGGTGACCAAGGTTCAAATGTCAGCTCAACCTTGGAATCCACTCAGTGACTGTTAGAAAAAAACAGTGTACTCCCCCACTTCATGTCATACCAATTCTCTAAAGAAGCTCAAATGCCATCAAACCCTACCAAAGTGCCTAGAGAAGCTCATACAGAAATAGCTTTTTGTGGGTTTTTCAAGCTGTGTGGCCATGTTCTAGAAGAGTTTCTGACATTTCGCCAGCATCTGTGGCTGGCATCTTTTTTCTCTGAAGATGCCAGCCACAGATGCTGGCGAAACATCAGAAAGAAACTCTTCTAGAACATGGCCACACAGCCCAAAAACCCACAAAAAAACTATGGATGCCGGCCATGAAAGCCTATGACTTCATACAGAAATGCTCATACATCTATTCTTCAGATCCTTCTCATTCTTTCCCTACAGAAAACTTTCATCCAGACTGCCATATAATCCACACCCATGTCCCCCCTAGCTTTATTAACCTCTCCTTGGCATTACTGGTCTGTTGATGCTTCTGCTCCAGAGGTAAAGTTGGGAAGAAGAGCCTGACAGTTACCCCTAAACATCTCAAAGATAGTTGGCATCAAGTATATGAAAATAAACATCCTGTCCCTAGCGATGCCATATACAAGACAAATCTGTCGAACTCCAACACTTTAGCAAGGAGAAACAGTCTGCTATTTCACATGTCCTGCCTTCTGATGGGGCTGGACAGGATTAGACAGCCAGCCATACTCCCCTACAAATGGAATTTCATTTTCTCATTGATGGTCATCAGCAAAGGCATGAACCCATTTTCCCAGAAAAGACTAGAGCTTGGAAATAACGAGTTACAAATAATGGTCTGAATGTTATTGTTAGTCTGAACAAAAATAGACCCATTGAGTCATGTTGTAAGCCGCCTCGATTGCTCTGCAGAGGGGCAGGATATAAATTATTATTATTATTATTATTATTATTATTATTATTATTATTATTATTATTATTATTATTATTATTATTATGGGATTTAGCTATGTTGTGATTCACAAAGCCATTCAACAACCGATTCAATCGGTCTACTCTGGCTGGATTCAAGCTACTCTGGAGAGGATTCAAGCCAATGTTATTTGTAATTAGTTCTTTTGTTCCAGTAACAAAACTATAAGGCAATAAGGGATAACTTTACTGCTTTTTTGTTATAACAATTACTCATAAAATTGTTTTTCAATTAAAAGAGCATGGCCTCATAAAACAAGAGCAGAGATATCCCATGGGTCAAGCACTGGCTGATGCTATGCCTAATGCTATAGCTTCATGCTCTGTTGTAAATGTTGAAGCACCAGGATAATGAAGCACCACTTGTCTTTTGCAGCATGGGCCTGTGACTTCTAACATGCTTATTTTTTCCCCTAAAGGGGTATGTTTTGAAGAAACAGGTTAATTCTGGGAAACAGAAGAGTCATGTTCTAAAGACTGTAACTTTAAAGTTAACAAACCACTGGAAGGGCTCTTGAAATTGTAATTATAACTAACTACTTCTTAACAATGAGAAATAGTGTGGTGTAGTGGTTTGAGCATTGGACTATGACTCTGGAGACCAGACTTCAAATCCCTGCTCTGCTGTGGAAACCCACTGGGTGACCCTGGCAAAGTCACACACTCTCAGCCTCAGAGGAAGGCAAAGGCAAACCCCTTCTGAACAAATCTTACAAAGAAAACAGTGTGATAGGTTCACCTTAGGGTTGCCTAAGTCAGAGACGACTTGAAGGCACCCAACCACCACCACCACTACTGCTTTTAAAAAACAGCTTTCCAACATTTAGGAAAGATGTGAAGAGGAGGGAGAGCTTTGTTTTGCCACATATATCGCCTCAGATTAAAACACCCCATCAGTGTCTAAACTGTGGCTCAACACATTCATTAAGCTTCCTTCCTTACTCTTTATTCACAGCATCTGCTTTCTTCGACATGAAAGAACAAAGCCTGCTGGGTCTAATTGAACCTAGCAGCTCAGCTCACAGTACTCAAGTCTGTGCCATTATTGCTCCAATGTATAACATTTTCCTTTGGGAGCACAGCAGGAACATGGTAAGATGAATCACTTCTGTGAAATTTAAGCTGATTAGGTACAAAAGTATGAGGTCACCTGGTGCCCTCCCACAGCCGTCTGCCAAAAATGCATTGGAAACCCAACAAGTGAACCCCTACACATGTTTAAAGTAAAATTAATACGTTGTTGCCCCTCTCAGCACAATATTTCTCAGCCAGAAGAGAGGGGAAAAATAAAAAATAAATTGTTGAGCATACTTCTCTTATTCCTTGACAGCACAGCAGCTATGTTACTTTTGAGGAAAATGCTTTCAGGTCATAGAATCATAGAATCATAGAATTATAGAGTTGGAAGAGACC